TATATGCGGCACTGTGGATGGTTAACGCGTTGGCATCACAATGCAGAGGTGCAGGGTTCGATTCCGGATTTGGATAAGAGCAGAGCATGTCAATGGACTGCTGGTTCCTTAAATTTCCTATATCTGAGGAGCTCAACAGGGCTCTACACTAGTGCCACAGATTTTTAATTTCTACTCCCATATGTGCACAATACAAATGCACACGATGTCACGTCAGATCAAAGTATTTCATTTTCAGGTTTGAGAAGAAAAAAAAAAAAACAATTTTGTCAAAGCAAGTAGTTATGCAACACCATCTTGACTTATTACAACGCTTTTTCTCTTGTCTCTTCTCCTCCGTGACCAACTTGTGGTGGGTTTAGCGCGAGGAAACGCACCGTTGTCAGGCCATGCTGCAATATTAATGCTCCACTGATGGGCTCTGGGACGGCGAGTGCCTGGCCGAGGGGGGAAGAGAAGCCCATCCAGATGCATCTCCGCCCCTTCCAGCCCGGCCCGCCACTCCTAAATTATTCATCTGCCACGCCGTCCTGAATGCTGCTTGTCCCGAGCCAGCGAAAGAGTGAGTGCGTGAATAAAGAAGTGTGTATGTGTGCATGGGTGTGTATGTGTATTACCTGCCCGTGAGGACCCATCATGGGATTGCTGGGGTTGTGTGGGGGAGGCTGCGTATGGGGGGAGGGTTGAGATCCTGGGGGACCCTGGATACAAACACACATGGTCGTCTCAATAAAGATCAAGACTAAATTCCAAAGGATTCAAACATTTTTGTTTTACAGTGGTTATAAAAAGTCTACACACCCCTGTTGAAATGACAGGTGTTTGTAATGTGAATAATGCGACCAAGATAAATCATTTGGAAATATTTGACATTAATTAAGTGACCCATATAACTTTTTAAAACATCATCAACAAAAAGGAAAGTGAAAAACATAAAACTCAAATGAGGTGTGTGCAAAAGGGTGCACACCTTCTCATAACTAGTAGGTGGCTGTCTTCAGAATTCACATTCTAACTCACATAAAATGGGAGTCAGGCAACAACTGGCACCATTGAAAGTATCTGCGGTTAACCCCAAATCAAGTTCCAGTGTTCTTGTAGGCTTTTCCTGACATTGCTTTCAAGCAAAAGTGTAAGGTTTTCCACTGCACAGAAAACAGTTTCAACACAATAAAGCATAAAATTGCAAAATGTGAGTCCAGAGCAGAGGCAGGGTATGCTAATGTTAGCATGTTCATTTTTTTAATCACTCAATAAATAACACATTCCGAAGACAGAAATAAACATCGCTATATGTTTGTCATTGTCTTTCTTTATACTAGCTCCTTATTTACTTAACATGGACCCTTTCAGGGACGGCGGTTACTACAGTGGACAGCCTATCATGTTATCAGGTTACAGGTTATCATTCTTGGGGCATGAAAGGGTTAAGCCACCTCAATATCACAAACGTCCAATTGTTTACAGCGACTGACAAGATTCCCTTGCCATTGGTTCCGTAACACAGGGACTAAAATCAGTGTTTTCACATCACACTGTGGAACCAGGTGATCACTCATTTGGGTTTTAACAATGTTCATCAATATGGAGAAGCAGGACTACCTGAAGATGCCGTGGCCTTATCTGCTACCTCTGTCAAGCTCTCGGCTATCAAATGACAGTACAGGTGTGTGTGTGTGTGCGTGTGTGTTTAGGTGTGTGTTTAGGTGTGTTTGCTCTCTTCTCATCTGTTGTGTTTCACGCATGCAGGCATGCTCCAACAGGTGTGTATCTAACATCGCAGTGAAAAGCCAAAAGGATTAGGGGATTACTTGCAATATAACCTAAGACACACACACTCAAACTCTCTCTCTTTCTCGCTCGCGCACACACACGCTCTCACTCACACACACACACACACACGCACACGCACACACACACACACACACACACACACACACACACACACACACTGTAATTGTACCGGTATGCAAATCAGACACACATAGTCACTGAGGTAGGATGATTGTTTTTCTTTATTAATTTAACATTTTTTTCCCCATTATGTGCAGTGGGAAATTGACCTGATTAATACAAGTATTATTCCCTCAGCAGTAGTGATTTACTCAGCTAGCTATTTTGAAGAATACCAATTATATGAGTCACTTTTTTTTTTTTTTTAGCCCTGTGCATAATGCAAAACTTCACGACATCATTACATCCATTTTTGATAGCGTTTATCCTGTTTCAAGTCGCGGGTGAGCTGGAGACGATTCCAGCTGACACTTGGCTGGCTGCTTGCCAACTATAGAGCAAATACAGACAAACATCCTGACGCACATTCACACCTATGGATAATTTAGAGCTGTGCTGTCCAACTACAATTTCATAAAATTGAAAACAAGGCAGAAGTGAACAAAGTGAAGTCTGTGTCGCAACAGGTGAAAATCTCCTTGGTTCCATTCTACACCTTAACAATGGTTGCCAAACTTTTTACACCACCAAAAAAATACTTATGGCCAAATACAACCATCACGGTCAATTAAAATACAGTATGTTTGAACATTGACATTGCTCTTCAACGAATGAGGGGAAAAAATGCACTTCAACAGTCATGTATTCAAATGTATAGCAAAGAAGTTACATTCAAAAAATATTGAAACAAATGTTTAAGGCCAAATAGTTCTTAAAAAGTAAAGAACTTCAAAGTGAAATACAACTGAACTGTAGCCAGTAATTCTTTACGCGAGCTCCTACGTATCGCACACATTGAGAATTGTCGTCTTATAATATTTAGATCACGTTTGGAAAGTGGTGGTCACATAGAAAACCTCAAATTGGCCCAGCAGGCACTGTTTCATATGTCAACTCTGTCCCACTATCCTTGAACATTTTTCAAAATTACTATTTATAGCCAACCCTCATATTTTGTTGAAAATACTTAATCGAGGCTTATCACCATTTTTTTTAAAAGAATAAAAAAAAATATATCAATGACCTATATTAATACCTACCATCATATACTTTTTTTTCCAGTCAATTGGAGGCAGATATTTGTTATTCGAGGCTGGGCCTAGTCCAGTGCAAATAGTGGGGGTCCACTGCAACTGAATTTCATCCGAACTCATCCCACATTCAATAAAAGTTTGTGCTTTTGAATATTATCAAGTTGACTATTGGTAGAATCGCAAATACTCAAATATAAGTACTTTTTCCAATACGCGGTTTAAAAAAAAAAGTGGCATTGCAGCATCCCTAATTTAAAGCACATGGAACTGTTGATGAACTCCATAGGCAACGTTCTGGAAGACCTTGGTCTTCCGCCAGCCCCACAAGAGAAGAACAATTGCTGGATATACTCCTCCGACCCCGAAAGAAACTCAAACAACCACTCGGTAAGTCGAATCCCAAAATCAAACACGAATGACAAGACTATAGGAGAAGAAGTCTTCTTTTTATGCTATTAAATCATCTTAAATGTACCACTAATCCACTTTTCTTTCATTTTCGGGGCAGGCCCACATTTAGTTGAAAAATCAGCAAAGCCACCAAAGGAATAAACACAGGTGCTTCCTCTCGCTTCGCCTGTTGACTTTCAAGCTGTTATGAGACGAGCGCGGTAAAGCCGCTTATTAGGCAGACAAACAGCATGCGGCCGTCCTGAAATCTATCCCTGTGTTATGAAAATGTTGGTTTTGTCGGACATGCGGCGGGGTCTTGATGTGTTGGCACAGTAGTGACTCGTCCGTGTGTGTGCGTGTGCGTGTGTGTGTGTGTGTGTGTGTGTGTGTGTGTGTGTGTGTGTGTGTGTTTTGGGGTGGTTAACACCTGCTGTCCTGGCCCACTCTGTCTCTCAGCAGGTTCACGCTGGGGCTAATGCAGCACGAGCTCCGTCTGACCTCAGAGGTTATTGTGGTTGTTGCCAAGCCAGCCAGCCATCCAGCCAGTGTGTGTGTGTGTGTGTGTGTGTGTGTGTGTGTGTGTGTGTGTGTGTGTGTCTAACAAGACAGCCCTGCAGGGTCTGGCTGCATTGACCCAGATGCAGCTTCTTCTCTATATCCTCACACAGGCTAGTTTTCCTCACTTAAGAGGAACCCGCGTTGACATTTCCCTGCTTCATGCCCAACTTCAACACTCCCCTTCAATAATTCACTGCATCATCTGAGAAGGAGCTATTATATTCCGAAAAATCACAGTTCAGTCGTGTGCCTTGTGGGGAAAACACATTGAACACATGTGCGTCGGCGCGGGCATGTTTTACAATCCTCATAACACAGTATTTTAGTGTACAGTGGTACCTCTACTTACGAAATTAATTGGTTCTGAAGGAAATTTCTGAACTAGAAAATTTTGTAAGTAGAGACGCGTTTTCCATGTAAATGCCCTCATTCGTTCTTAGCACCCCCAAAATTCAGACATAAATGTTTCCGAATGCATACAATATATGTAACAAATACATGTTACAATTAGATTATTGAGCAATAAATGAGAGTTGTGCATCATGTAAAAAACAAAGAATAGAGTCAAGAATAAAAATGATGGTCATTTAACTTTTACCTGTGTCCTCATCGTTTTTTTTGCCCTCTTTAGTTCATGTTCTCTCTCAGGACAAATGCCCATTGCCTCAACCCCACGGACATACGTATAAAATAACCTGGATTGCCAGTCGGCTCCCGCCGATGAAGGCAGGGCGCAAGCATCTTGCGTTGTCTCTGTTACTGACAACTTCTGTGTTTTGTTTCACTGAAAACACTATCAGTGGCCTTTTTTTTTTTTTTTTTTTTTTTTTTTAACACTAGGATCCCGATGGAGTAATATGAGCTTCCTACAGTGCGAACTTCACTGGCTGCCATGACCATTCAGAGAAAATTATTTTAGGATTGTGTATCATCACTTTTTTCTTGACTGACATTGAAACCCGCATGCATTCAGTCACAGATAGTCACAGATACTACAGTACAGAAGATAATGCTACTTCATAGATTTTCATCTATCGTGGGGCATGGAGGGGGGGGGGTCCTGTGGAACATAATACCCACAATTAACAGGGGACTACTATATTCTTAAAAAAAAAAAAAGGCCAGTAAATCACTCATTTCAAGCTTGCCGAACTAAGGACTCACGTGAGACGCTGAGGCTTTTGAGATGTTCTTTGCTGACTTCTATTCAGACAACTTGCTTCCTATAGTTGAAAACGGGGCTGGACATAGCGTGAGTAGCCTCTGTGTAAACAGATTCATGCCCCCCACAGCATGAAGAATAGCCCGCGCACACTCTTCCCCCATAATGTGCCATAATGGAGCACAGTGTCTCGGCTGGCTGGGCCTCTGCGGGCCTTCCTGCCATTACATGTGAATGAGCCGGCATACGGCCTTTATGACCGCACTGTTTCCTCCACAGGTCCCCACAGAGAAAGAACACTTCAACTGTCACAGAGGTGTACGCGGGCCAACACTGTGTGCGCGTGTGTGTGTGGAGGAGCGGCCAGGAGTAGAGGAAGAGTGGAGTAGGTGGGGAGGTATGGGGGGGGGAGGGGGCATGGGGAGCGTTAAATGAAGCAATTAATAAAATCATTTTCTAGCCGGCTAAGGAGATAACAGCTTGGCACGGGACCACAAAAGCAACAACGCAGGCCCCTCACTTTCCCCAACACTGCTTTCAGCTAAAGGAAGACCTGCAGCAGCATCTCTGTTTGTGGGTTTCACTCAGCCACCACTAGAGG